TGCCTGCTGCAGGATCGGGGCTCCCCACCCTGCCGCCCTCCCCTCAGGGCCTCGACAGCCCAGCAGACAGGGCCCAGCGCAGCAGGACAGACAGGGCCGGGCATGGAAGCTCACTGCCACCACTGGGAGCTCCGCGCCACCATGATGAAGTTCCCCCTGCCCACCTGGCAGCAGCGAGGGGCACAACTCCACACTGCCATCTCCATTGCTGCTAGGTAGCCAGGGGATGCCTCACCATGGTGGCATGGAGCTCCCAGATGCAGCAACAAACTTGCCCAACAGGCCCCACTCTGCCCTGGCACACCGAGTCCTGCCTACTAGACTACAGAGGCCCCAGGGGAAGGGCAGGGAGCGCTGAGCCTGCAGCAGGAAACCTTCATCCGCCCCACACACAGATCTGAGGGACGCGTGCCTCCTATGGCCACCCCTGGGAGTGCGTGCAGCGGCATGGAGCCAGGCCCCTCGCCTGCCCCCCTGGATGAGCTGCCCACAGCCCCATCCTGCTCCCTGCCTGGGCCCTACAGCTGCACATTCCAACCGCAGGCCCCAAGTCCCATACACTGCCCCAGATAGGCAGCAGCCCCTGCCCAAGTCTTAGCCCTAGCTCTGCCCAACTCCTTCCCTCCCTCACTATGGTGGCCTCAATTCCCAAACCAACTCTCACCCTCCCCCCGGGACTTACTTGTGGGGAGCTGCTCTCTAGGCTGCCTGGCAGCCATGTGGATTTGTGAATGAGCACATGCACACAGCATCCCCTGCCTAACAACCCTCTCCTGTTCTCCCCAGCCTCCAAGGGGAAACCCACTGCTTTCTGAGTTTTTCTCCTTAAAATGAGAAAGTCCAAGTTTTACTGTGTTTTTCCACTGCAAACGGAAAACCCAGATACCTGGCAATCAAGAACAGTCTACACAGATTCACCAAAAACAAGCCATGCCTAACCACTTGATTTCCTTCTATAATAAGGTGAATCTCAGGGCATGTGGGGGAGCAGTGGATGTGACATGCATTGACTTAAACAAGGCTTTTGACATAGTCTCCCATAACATTCTCATTAACAAACTAAGGAAATACAGATTAGGGGAAGCACTGTAACATGGATATATAACTGCCTGGATCATCATGCATAACAAATAGTCATTAATGTCTCAATGTCTAGCTGGGAGGAAGTATCAAGTGAGCTTCCTCAGGGATCTGTCCTGGGTACAGTATTGTTTAACACCTTCATAAATGATCTGTATGATGGGATTGAGTGAATGCTTGGCAAATTTGCAGACGATACCAAGTTAGGTGGAGTTGCAGATGCCCTGTAGGGTAGGACTGGGATCCAGAATGACCTGGACAGACTGGAAAGGTGAACCACAATCAATCAACTGAAATTCAACACAGACAAGTGCAAAGTCCTGCACTTGAGATGGAATAACTGTGTGCACAAATACAGACTGCCTAGGTTGCAGTACTGCAGAGAAACAGTCAGGGGTTCCAATGAACCATAAAGCTGAATGTGAGGCAACAGTGTGCTCTTGTGGCAAAAACACCAAGAGCATACACTAGGCACTATTAACAGCAAATCAAGGCAAGTGATTCTTCCATTCTGGTCAGTGCTGGTGAGGCCTCCTGACAGATTGGTAAGAACCCAGCAGAGAGTGACAACAATGATTAGAGGCCTAGCAAGCAACACTTAGGAGAAAAGAGTGAAAGAACTAGGGTTATTTATTCTGGAAGAGAGAAGACTGAGGGCAGATTTGATGAGTCTTCAAATGCCTGCAGGGCAATTACACAGAGGATGGAAATGGGCTTTTCCCTAAGGCCACAGAAGACAAGACTAGGAGCAATGGCTTTTAAGCTGCAGCAGAGGAAATCTGGGTTGGAGATTAAGAAGAACTTTCTTACTATGATGGCTGTCAAGAAGTGGAACAGGCTGCCTAGAGAAGTGGTGAAACCTCCACCCCTGGAGATTTTCCAGAGAAGGTTAGCCAGACATTTGGCTGGGATGGTTTAAGCAGGGATGATCCTGCCCTGAGCTCATAAGGTCTCTTCCAGTGCCGTTTTCCTATGAACCTGCTCATGAGATCCCTTCCAGCCCTATTTTCCTATGATCCAAACAACTGAATGAAATGCTCTGTATTTAGCAAAAAGATGAACCCTTCATTCTGATAGACTGGCACACTTACTTCTGTTTGTCACCTTGAGGCTTAATTATTGCAGTGTTCTCTATACAAGGTTACAGCTTCAAGGCACATGGAAACTGCAGCTAATACAGAATAAGGTGGCCTACTTAAGCAAAGTTTGTCAGTATGTTTGTATTGTGCCTCTGTTTTAGGTGGTTTGTGTTTGCCCAAGCCAGGTTGCTGCATCCAGAAGGAGGCTAACAATAGGGCAATGAAACCAACTGAACAATGAAGGGAGCAATTGTGAATACAGTTTATAGGACTTTCAAAGAAACTGAACCTAGACTAACAGCATTCTGGCAAGAGATAAGAAACCTAGGAACTTCCATAACTAAATGTGACTTGTGTTTTCCTTTTGTTTCCATTAATATCTTCTTATACAGGGGTATAAAACATCCACCCACTCCTGCAATAACCCATCATACTCCTAAATTAAACTATTTTTTGCATTAACAAAAAGCAAAATGCTATTTTTTGCATTTGCAAAAAGCATTTAATTTCTTTTTAAATGCTTAGTAAGTACTTTATTATATTCAGAAGAGATTAACATACCAACCAAATTTAACCATTCCTCTCCTATAGCAGTGGTACCTAGTTACCACTTCAAGGTTCATGTATTTATATTTGGGATAGTTTTCCACTACCATTTAAATGAAGAAAGGGTTCTGCATACTCTGAGAACCATAATTTTAGAGCTGATTCTGATTTATTATTGCAATCTAACTGATTATAGTAGTCAAACCGCAAAGACTACTTTGCGGTTTGAGCAAGTGCAGGAGACATGAGCAAGTGCAGCAGAATCTATATCCAAAGAAAGAATCTATCTTCTTGCCAAATACAGACAATTTGATTGAATTATTTGGCTACTATAGCAAGGAGTACCCTCAAGTTTATATATGGACAGCAAGTGATTTCTGGACAGTTGCTACCAATGCATTTCCGCAAGCATGTATTCCAATATTGAGGAGAAAACCTACAGGAACAGATAGCTTTTCACTGTGGGAACAGATAGCTACACTGTCCTAATAAGTGGAAAAAAAAAAAAAAGTTTCACTGAGCTGCATACTGGTTTGACCCTAATTCCAGCTAATTACAGTACATAATATAGATGGGATGAATCCGTGTGTCCAGTACCACACCCTCAAAGGGCTTGGTCTCCTGGAAAAATGGAGAGAAAATGGTACTGTTCAGTGATTGATTTATTAAGAAACCATAGTTCTGACGTAGATGCAAATGTTTTCAAAAGAGCATATTAAAATCCTGATCAGATCCTCAAAGCATTTCCTTAGATTCTACAACTATGAGCACAGTAGAAAGATCTAGCGGTGTCATTTATCCTATTGAGTACAGCATCATTTCTACTTCTCTACCTCCTCTGGTTTAATGTGCCACTCACAAATATAGCTATAAGTGGTATTATGTGGTTTTGTGTTTATTATATGAAAATCAACATTGCTGTTTACAATGCCTTTTCTAATAATCCACCCTAACAACTCATCTGAAAGTCAAGCTAGGTTCTCTTCTACATCAGTAGAGGTGCCCTCTGTTCTTCCAAATTCAATGAGCTGAAAATTAGTGGAAGCATTTCAGAATTGCAAAAGGAAATAAGTGTTTGAATATGAAAATACTAAGAACTGTTGTCCTGACAACTCTGGAAAAGTCATTTATCCATAAGAAGATAACCAATGATATAATGAAAACTCTCCATACAGCTCCTCATTTAAACTGAGCAATAAACCAGGCATTAAAAAAAACCTATATTTAACTGTAGATTAGAAAAAAGTATGCTGTAACTGAGCACAACAAATGATGCCTGAAATGAACAATTATGGAATTAACTGCTGTGAAGGCAAAATGCCAGATCTACCACAGAAAGTGTTCGATTATACATTTTTTGTATTGGATGAAAGTAAATGTGTCATCCCGATGGCTACTTAAATACAGTGATAAGTTCAACTACGATTATTTTATAGCTATGTGATGCTTTTACTGAAGAAATACTGACCAAAGATGATGAAACTAATGGCTGAAATAACCATCATACAAGGGGGCAGAATTAAGGTTGCTCATGTAACTGTATCCATGGTACTATCTGAACCAAGGGCCTAATTCTGTAAGTGTACTAAAGAATTTCCAAGGCTTTACAGAAGTTAAATCAGGCCAACAAATGACTTTCCTCACTAGGTACACCTGTTGCTCAGGAAACGAAAGATGTGCAAGTGAATTTGCAACCAAGCTTGCAACCCCATTCCTATGGACCCTCCACCACTCACTATGCAACGTTGTAAATATCCTCATTAACTATGTACATGTCAGTCAGACAGAATACACATACCTTCCTTCCATTAACAGATTATTAAATACTTTTTATCACTCACTGTAACTGTACTTTGCATTTAAATAAAACCTCCCTGCTTCCAAATAGAATTGCCACCTGAATACTCAAGGCTTTTAATAAGGGTTCACCCCCTTCAAAATTCCAAAATTCTAGCCCTCAGGTGTTTCAACTGTAAAACTTAAAAAATAGCATAAAACCAAGAGTTAAAGAAAAGTGACTTGAAGAATATTTCCTTCCCCCTTCAAGCTTCCCTTCATATACTCAAACAGCTGGAGCATTTTTCTAATAAATCTGCCCTAAAAACAGTACTTTGAGGCAGAAGTACATCAGGATACATTTCAACTTTCCAGAAGTTATGAGCAACTGAAAATGACATAGGAATGGGACTGCTGTTTGGCAACTATAAAAGTTTCCTTGACCTTAATACTACGGTTCCCTTCCTCCCCCGGATAATTTTTAGCAAACATTATAAAATCAGAAACAAAAACACTTACCTGGGATTCCCCCTTAGTGCAGCATGATGGAGAGCATTAAATCCATTGTTGTTTGTAATAGTTACATCTGCTCCAGCCTCCAACAGTACAGCCAGGATGTCATCACGCTTTTTACTTATAGCATCATGGAGTGGAGTATCCCCTTCAGAATCCTAAAAACAAAATTGGTTTCCCATGAATCTCTATCTTCAGGAGAGTTGAAGGAAAAAAAATGCCTTGAACAACACTAGGAGAGTCAAATAAAATACAGTTTGTTAATGCCAGTTATATCATTTGAATTAATTCCAGTCTATTACCAAATATTTTTGTCTTCATGTCTGAGATATACTGTGTTCTTTAAAAATCAGGAAAAAAACTTCATCCAGTGAAAAGTGCATCAAGAAGGCAAAATAATAGATTCCCCACATGACAAGCTTTAAGAAAGAAATAATTTTAAGGGAAGTATACCATTTTTCAGTTAGCAAAAGGTTACTTTCCTAGTACTTGATAATATAAAGTGCTAGAGATGGTTCTGTATATACCAAAACAAATTAGGAATGTACATTTATCTTATCTTACCAGAGTTTTACTTCTAATAAATCCAAATTAAGTGAAAAAAATTTATTCCATCCCAGAAGAAATTTGTACAAAATGTATTAAAAACTCAAACATTTAAGTAAAATGCACATTTTTGGACTGTCCATATGAAGACAGTTTAAAGGTGAGTTTATGGTGTTGCTGAATAGCCACAAACTCTGGATGTAGGCACAAGGTGATATCCTGGCCACATTTAATTATAAATAAATGTTTTGTATTATAAATAAATAAGTGTTTTGTAATTAACTTAAATGGAACCAGAATTTCATTTGTGTGTTAGCAGTCCACCATACTCTGAAAAGGATCTCTCAGTATTTGTACTGTCAGAATGTCTCTCATACAAAGCTGTAATGTTCCAAACGTGGAAAAATGTCTTGTGCAAACTTGCATAAAATGACCTGCAAATGGAATGAATAAAATATTTTTTCAAATGATCAAACTCCTCACATTTACCGTATATAGACTAAAGTGTATTTTTCATCACATGATGATTTGGCTAAAACTATGGGTCTACTTTCTACATTTCAAGAGAAGATGCAACCCCAAATATATCTCCTGCACTTTCATCTACTTCAGTGAAATCAATTTCTTAATGATGACTGCAACTTCCTCTACACATGTGACATTATCCCAACAATTTTTATGGCAATAAGCAGACAAGGTTTTTTTGGGTAAATGTGATATCTTTTAGTTTAGTAGACCACCTAAATAGTTGGAAAATTGTTCCTTGCAAGCTTTTGGGTATAAACCTCCTTCTTCAGGCAGAGGGAGAATCTACAGTTGTTCTGTGGTCTCCTGGATGGGTTAGAAGCCAGTTTGCAGG